AGGCTGAGCGTTTCGTGGATACTTTCAAGCGAGGACTTGCTAAACTACAAGCTGGGGAAAATAGTAGCAACTTTTCGTCAATGGATTTTCTTTCTGTTTTCCTACAGTGTTATAGGTTCATTCCAAATCCAAATGTTCCTAACAAGTTGTCTCCGGCTGAAGCACTAATGGGTAGACAAATACGGACATCATTGGATTTACTGAAACCTTCTTCTTACCAAGTATCTACAAATGAGAAACAGCTTAAGCAAGAGATGCAATATAATCGAAAACACGGAGCAAGAGATAAAATTTTCGATCCGGGTACGCAAGTTTTTGTTCAGGTTCATGCAGCAAATAAATGGTCGTGGATACCTAAAAAAATCATTGAGCGGGTTGGCAAAGTTCTGTATAATGTGCTTGTTCAAACACGAAGTCGACTGGTTCGTGCACACGCCAATCAACTGAAGTTTAGGCACAGTGACAAAGACGAAAAAGAACTTCCCGCGAAAATTCTCATCAATGTCTTCGATCTCACAGACACTATACAACAACAAACATTACAAGAAACTCAGCAAGTAGTTACACATCACGAAGCACTTTGCGACAAAGAACAAGAAGTTGATCCAGTTTTAGCTAATTCTACACAACAGCAAGTGGATTTACTGCCTCAAGTTTCTTCACAACAGCAAGTGGATTCTCAACCACAAAGTGTAATGCAACAAAGAGAGACGTCGTCCGAGACACTGCAGTTGGAACATAAAAAGTCTACGCCATCTGAATCTCTACCGGCTTCCGAATCTGCAAGGCCAATTCGGCAATCAGCGCGAACACAACGCAGTCCAATCAGATACAAGGATTACGTCTGTCAACGTCTTTAAAAGGGGGAGATGTAGTAATCGATACATCAATACATCGATATCGTTACTACAATCAAATGTCGACATCCTAGAAACCGATACACAATCATTCAATTATTTCTTAACAACGATTCTCTTGTTCGTTGTGTATCTTCATTCATTCCAAGTTCATTCCTGTAACCATTCACACGTTTTAATAAACGACTCAAGTTTTCTTTTAAAGAACAAAGTTAGTTTATTTTTGTGAGTGAACAAACATAACAAATATATATTCTTTAATTGAAGGTTATGGCCTCTCATTGAAGACCATTATTTATACCTTATTATAAATCTCTATTATTAATTAGGAAAATCTATAATCTCTGGTTTGGTTTGATGCAAAAATGGTTCAGTGGACCGAAAGTCTATAATCTCTACTTAGTTATGAAACACCGAATTTCATGATTGGCCACTGCATTGAAATTTGAGTTTGGAGATTCGAGACCTGAGGCTGCCTTTACATGCGGCGTAACTTGCGTAAGCGTAACTTGCGCCAAACTCCGTCAACCAATCAAATCGTTTCATCTACTATATGCATATCCGCTTAGTTATTTAACGCATTTTACGCTTTTGCCGATACGCCAAATCCAATTTTTCACGTAAATCGGTAATGCATATGTATTAGTGATGTGTGTGTACGTGCAATCACCAAGTATTGTAATGTAATTTGACTCACAAAAATTAGAAAAAATGGATCAAATTCAGGTAAGGTAACAAGTTTTAAAACATTCTATATAAAGTTTCTAAAAATAATATATTTGATACTTGAACATAATTCGGTACATTGCTTGCACAGTATGACGAGATAATTTTAAGGTTATGCCTAATAATTAGTATTATCTGTTATTTGCATGTCTGGATTAGTTTTAGCACTCTGCTGCAACTTATACATTTTTACTTACATTTTTTTTTTAATACAGCATAAATGTGAATACTGCGGATGGCTTTTTCGTTTCAACACAGACTTTGTTGATCATAACTGCTTTAAACATTATATTGAACAAGTAGACCACGTTAATATTGCCGAAAATCATGTCGTGACAATATATATGTGACTTTTTAAGTTCGCTTCGTTCCATTAAATAAATGAAGTACTTATGTATATTATACTTAACAGTTGAAAAAAAATCCAATGGTTGACAGAAAAGAAAAATTGGATGAACTATTAATCGAAGCAGTTAGAAGCAAACGTGGACTGTATGATTCTTGTATACCTGCTTCGGAGAGAACTATGTTGCGCAAAAATGCATTATGGATGGAAGTTTTGAATATACTACAAGGTATATTTTACTATCTAGAAGGACTTTTCTTTTATTTTTCTTATCATATAGTAAATAAGTTTTAGAATCAAAGTATATTATTTATCAAGGATTTCTCAGTCCAGAGGAAGCTAAAGCTCGATGGAAGTATCTGTGAGATAATTATATAAAAGCTCGCAAGAAGATTCGAGCATACATACTCAGTAGATCGGCAGCTACTGCTACTAAAACCAATAATAACTCGAGGTTTCAATATTATGAGCTTATGAGATTCCTGAACGAATCATTGCAAACACGACAGTAAGTTCTTATTCTTTAACATTCACATGTACATCACTTTTATTGTTTGGTAAGAAATTGAAGAGAATATGTCACATGTGTGATCCATTCATTAATAAATTTTAGGACAGTAAGTCCATTACCAGATGCCAGTGCTAAGAATGAAGTAGTCACTTCATTTAACACAGAAAATGAGCAACACAAAAGTAATGCTATAGCTGGACCTTCGAAAACGCTTCACACACAGATTTCAGCCAGCAACAATTCTCCACAGACTTCCTTATATGTTTCTTCACGGACGTCGACACCTACAAATATTTCTCCACAGTCGCTCGATTCTGTTGACGTTTTTTCACAAACCCCGACATCCACAAAAGATTTTTCATCAACTGAAAATAGAGTACCTACACAAACACGAACTACAAAATTGAAACGTTTGTTTATTTATTAAATAAAAAGAGCCAATACAAGCCGTAAACAAAGTATTTGTGTTTAAATGTTTTGTTCTATGTTTAATGTCAAACAATGTCAACAACGTTTTCAAAACGATAAAGATTTTAAAACGTTAAACATAGAATAAATTATTTAAACACAGACTCTGTTTACGTCTTGTATTAGCCTTTTTTTATTTATTAAATTTTACAAGCAGAAATATATAATAATTTGTTTATTTATTTTCATTTGTCGGAATTTCTTATAATTTTTACAGCGAAAATGACGTTTTAATTTCTTTGTAGAATCGGAGCAAATCTTTTTTGACGATTACAAGCCGCCTGCAAAAAGTAAATGTTTTTTAATTTAAGTTTTTTATTATATTGANGTACAATAAAATATTTCTATTATTAACATTTTGGAAAACAAGTCCTTTATTAAATATACCTACAGCCTAATAAAACTTTAAAAAATAAAAAATTTATTTTCTTTTAGAGGAATTAAGTACATGTGACAAAGTAGTAAATAATCTTCCTTACCTTCACGTTTTCAATAAATAAAAAAAAAATAAATGTATCAATTCCAAACTTCAAAAGCTAATTAATATATATATATATATATATATAATGTATTTACTCGATTATTAGCAGTTAATACTTTTTATCCGATAGTATATCCGATATTGTCAGTAGTTAACAAGACCGGTCTTATTTACTACAATCCTAACCTCACCGTGCATACGACTACATATATTACGCTTTCACACATTCTTACATGCAAAGTATCCAATTTCCATGACGCGTATTTAACAATACTCGTAAATAATAATAACCAATCGAGAAGCCACTTAGTATTTCTGCTGTATTGTATAATAGAAGGCCTGATTTGTTATTGGTTAGCTTTACAAAAATCGTGTTTACGCTTTACGCGAATTTAATNAAATACGCGCCATGTAAATGGCGACTTTCAGAATGGCGTAACTTCTAGCGTAACTTCTTCTAGTAAATTTAGTAAATTACTATATACGCAAGTTACGCTTACGCAAGTTACGCCGCATGTAAAGGCAGCCTGAGAGTTAAAATTTGAGATTGGAGACGAGATCTAAGATTTGAGAAGCGACTATGAATTCGGGCCTAAGAGTCGACAAAAATCAAACTGCACTTTTGCTAAAAATGCATTACAAAAACTGCTTTTATGTAGTTTAATTTTTTAAATCTTAAGGACCAAATTGCAAAATCTCCGACTCTTTACTATAAAGTTACGTACTTATATAAAGGATACTAATTTAAAAACTTAATTTAAAAACTCACGACAACACATCACTAAATCAAAAAAAAGGAGCGGACGAGATAAACAACAAACTGGAAATAGAAGTTTTTTGTTCGATTATCGATTATTTGCAACCCAAAAACAATCATACAATCGATTAATCGAATTTGTAACAATTGCAAAAAAAAACAATTGATTATGAACAATAACAATTCGATTGTCGATTAATCAAGTCACAATTGGCCATTTCTAGTTGGGAAAAAACGATTTAAGAATCTGGCAACACTGCGCGTTGTGTACGTAGCTGGAAAGCTCCCATTACCGCTACCTAAATTTTATACGAACAAACAATTGCGACTTATATACGTATAGATAATTATAGGAAAACCAAAACTAAAACTTAAACAGAGAAACAACATAGAGAAATTTTAGAGAAAAAACAAATGCAAATTGAGCACTATTTTTACAATGAACTATATTGATATAAGCTACAGGTTAATACGTGCAGTTCGTGAAGGAAACCTAGAAAGAGCAAGGGAGATACTTACTTATTATGGACTATCTTATTCACAAGCATGGAAAGAAGGATATGTTTTACTTTGTGATGCTATTGAGAATAGGCATACAGAAGTTATTAAACTACTTTTAACAAACGGTTCTAAAGTTAACAGCAACACTGATGAAACTGATAATACACCACTTAATTTTGCTGTTAAAAACGGTGACATAGAAATTGTTAAGATGCTCCTAGACAGACGTGCTAACGTTAATGCTACAACTAGGTATGGCANAACTCCGCTTCACAATGCGATTGAAAATAATAAAATAGAAATTGCTGAATTACTTTTAAATCATGGAGCTAACATTACTGCCAGTGATAAGTTAGGTATAACTTATATTGCAGCTGAGACAAGATATTTACAGATTGATGAATATCTTTTACAACATGGAGTTTACTTGGAGAGTTAATTCTACATATATCTCTTTCTTTTCAGGTGTTACACCACTGTGTCTCGCTGTTCAAAAAGGACATGTAGATGGTGTTAAGATGCTCATGGACAGAGGTACTAACGTTAATGCTGAAACTCAGGATGGCACAACTCCACTTCACGATGCGATTGAAAATAAGGAAATAGAAATTGCTGAATTACTTTTAAATCATGGAGCTAATGTTAATGCCAGTGATAATTTAGGTATAACTTTATATTGCAGCTGAGAAAAGATATTTACAGATTGATGAACATCTTTTTGAACATTAAGTTTACTTGGAGAGTTAATTCTACATACATCTCTTCTTTTTCAGGTGTTACACCACTGTGTCTTGCTGTTAAAAGAGGACATGTCGATGGTGTTAAGATGCTCATGGACAGAAGTGCTAACGTTAATGCTGAAACTCGGGATGGCACAACTCCACTTCACGATGCGATTGAAAATAAGGAAATAGAAATTGCTGAATTACTTTTAAATCATGGAGCTAATGTTAATGCCAGTGATAATTTAGGTATAACTTTATATTGCAGCTGAGAAAAGATATTTACAGATTGATGAACATCTTTTTGAACATTAAGTTTACTTGGAGAGTTAATTCTACATACATCTCTTCTTTTTCAGGTGTTACACCACTGTGTCTTGCTGTTAAAAGAGGACATGTCGATGGTGTTAAGATGCTCATGGACAGAAGTGCTAACGTTAATGCTGAAACTCGGGATGGCACAACTCCACTTCACGATGCGATTGAAAATAAGGAAATAGAAATTGCTGAATTACTTTTAAATCATGGAGCTAACGTTAATGCCAGTGATAATTTAGGTATAACTTTATATTGCATCTAAAAAGATATTTACAGATTGATGAACATCTTTGTGAACATTACGTTTAATTGGATAGGTAATTCTACATACATCTCTTCCTTTTCAGGTGTTACACCACTGTTTCTCGCTGTTAAAAGAGGACATGTCGATGGTGTTAAAATGCTCATGGACAAAGGTGCTAACGTTAATGCTGAAACTCGGGATAGCACAACTCCGCTTCACGATGCGATAGAAAATAACGAAATAGATATTGCTGAATTATTCTTAAATCATGGAGCTAACGTTAATGCCAGTGATAAGTCAGGTATAATTTTATATTGCAGCTGAGAAAAGATATTTACAGATTGATGAAAATCTTTTACGCCCGTTTTTAGCATCTCGGATTAAGAGGGTATTCGATACCGACTATAGCGACCTGTAAACCGACGGTCTTAAATCAGATCTGTGTCGTATTTNCTGCATCAAATTTAAAATGCTTTTCCAGAAATAAGTAAATTGTGCTAAGAAATGGCTGGTGTGCTTTGGAATGTCAAAATTCAGCACAAATTTTTTCTTAGATTGTTTTCTTCTATTGCCTCACCATATATTCATGGATGTAGAATTATATCTAAGCTTATGTACGTACTTGTACTGAATTACCGCCAAACATACGACAAGACCAAATTGAATGAGCTATTCAAATTATGATTTGACTATCTCATTGATGAGAGAAATCTGAGTTTGTGATGATGTGTATTTGATACCATATACTATCAATATGAATATAAAACAAGTTCAAAAAAGCATTATATACCTATTTTCAAAAGCTTTATATAATTTTATATATTTATTTGCTTCTGTAAAAGCGCTTTTAATGTTGTGCAGTAAATAAAATTAGAAAATAAAGAAATTTAGGTTATAAAAACGTCGGTTTACAGGACTCTATGGTCGGTATCCAGTACCGCCTTAANTTAATCAGCGATTAAGTATCAATCGTTTTGGTCCGTTCTGCTAAACGATTGATACGTCTGGCATTTCCAATAGAATAATCGGCCGATTAAGTCATTTGAAGATGATGAGAACGGGCGTTAGAACATTAAGTTTAATTGGAGTGTTAATTCTACATACATCTCTTCTTTTTCAGGTGTTACACCACTCTGCCTTGCTGTTAAAAGAGGACATGTCGATGGTGTTAAAATGCTCATGGACAGATGTGCTAACGTTAATGCTGAAACTCTAGATGGCACAACTCCGCTTCACGATGCGATTCAACATGAGAAATTAGAAATTGCTGAATTACTTTTAAATCATGGAGCTAACCTTAATGCCAGTGATAAGTCAGGTATAACTCTATATTGCAACTGAGAAAGGATTAATCTGTAATATACAGATTGATGAACATCTTAAACCATAGAGTTTATATTACTTCTACTTAACTACATCTATTCCTTTACACTAGGTGTTACACCACTGCTTCTTGCTGTTAAAAAAGGACATGAAAAATTTGTCGACTCGATTTGTTTTGACAGACGTCCTAACGTATTTACTAAATCTCGATATAGCGCAACTTTGTTTCCTAATGCTATTGAAAATAGGGAAATAAAACTTGCTGAAGTATTTTTAAATCATGGAGTTAACGTTAACGCCAACGGTATAACTTCTCTTTATATTGCAAACGAGAAAGGATACAGATTGATGAACATCTTTTAAAACATGAAGGTTAACCCACAATTGGTACACTGGTGCAAATTCGCACTACAGAAAAAATGAGATTATGTATACAAATGGTTTAGTTTTTACAATATGAAAAAGAAAGATATTATACCTTAATTTACAAAACGCTCGCATTCAGTGCATAGTGCTGAGCGATGATTATCGCACATTCTGCGCAAGCAATTCGAATATCTCATACGTGTCTCACACTAGTGTACCACTTGAGGGTTTATTGGAGGGTTAATTCTACATATATTTCTTTTTTTCAGGTGTTACATTACTGTGGTTTGCTATTCACAGAGGACAATTAAATGGTGTTAAAATGCTTTTGGACAAAGGTGCTAACGTTAATGGTGAAACTCGGTATGGCACAACTCCGCTTCATGATGCGATTAAATATGACAAAATGGAAATTGCTGAATTCCTTTTAAATCATGGAGCTAACGTTAATGCCAGTGATACTTACGGTATATTTTTATATTGCAGCTGAAAAAAGATATTTACAGATTGATGAACGTCTTTTTGAACATTAAGTTTCATTGGAGAGTTAATTCTGCATACATCTCTTCCTTTTCAGGTATTTCACCACTGTATCTNGCTGTTCAAAAAGGACATGTAGATGGTGTTAAGATGCTTATCGACAGAGGTGCTAACGTTAATGCTGAAACTCGGTGGTCGGGCACAACTCCGCTCCACTATGCGATTGAATATGAGAAAATGATAATTGCTGAATTACTTTTAAATCATGGAGCTAATGTTAATGCCAGTCATGAGTTAGGTATAACTCTATAATGCACTTGAGAAATTATATATATATATTTTTGAACATTTTTCGAAACATGGAGTTTATGTTAATTTTACATATATGTCTACATTTACACCAGGTGTTACACCACTACGTCTTGCTGCTAAAAATGGACATGGACAATTTGTTAAGATGCTTCTTGACAGAGGTGCTAACGTTAATGCTGAAACTCGGGATGAGACAACTCCGCTTCACGATGCGATTGAAAATAAGGAAATAGAAATTGCTGATTTACTTTTAAATCATGGAGCTAACGTTAACGCCAGTAAAGCGAACGGTATAACTCTTCTTCCCTTTGCAGCTGAGAAAAGATATTTCCAGATTGATGAACATCTTTTACAACATGGAGTTTACTTGGAGAGTTAATTCTACATATATCTCTTTCTTTTCAGGTGATACACCACTGTGTCTCGCTGTTCAATATAGACATGTAGATGGTGTTAAGATGCTTATCGACAGAGGTGCTAACGTTAATGCTGAAGCTCGGGACGGCACAACTCCACTTCACGATGCGATTAAAAATAAGGAAATAGAAATTGCTGATTTACTTTTAAATCATGGAGCTAACGTTAACGCCAGTAACGATAACGGTATAACTCCTCTTCCCTTTGCAGCTGAGAAAAAATATTTACAGAGTGATGAACATCTTTTACAACATGGAGTTTACTTGGAGAGTTAATTCTACATATATCTTTTTCTTTTCAGGTGATACACCACTGTGTCTCGCTGTTCAAAAAGGACATGTAGATGGTGTTAAGATGCTTATTGACAGAGGTGCTAACGTTAATGCTGAAACTCGGGATGGCACAACTCCGCTTCATTATGCGATTAAATTTGACAAAATGAAAATTGCTAGATTTCTATTAAATCATGGAGCTAACGTTAATGCCAGTGATAAGTCAGGTATAATTTTATATTGCAGCTGAGAAAAGATATTTACAGATTGATAAACATCTGTTTAAACATTAAATGGAGAGTTAATTTTACATATATCTCTTCCTTTTCAGGTATTACACCACTGTGTCTCATTGCTCAAAAAAGACATGTAAGTAGTGTTCAGGTGCTTTTGGACAAAGGTGCTAAAGTTAATGCTGAAACTCTGGATGGCACAACTCCGCTTCATCTTGCGATTCATTTTGAGAATATGAAAATTGCTGAATTACTATTA